ATAACTAATAATAAAACGTATACAAATAGTTTACTTTTGCAATATTCCAATGGTTGGATAAAAATAAAATTAATACTGATTTAACTGTAAATTATTTACATCTATTATATTAAATATTTACAAAATGTATTATAATAATAATTTTAATTTAAAAAAAATGCAGATGAAATGTCTGATAAAAAATGTAACTATATTTTCAAATGTATAAAAATTAAATTTTAAAACATATTTTTCAAATTCGATAATAAAAAAATCTGTACCATCATTGAAAAAAAAAATCCTTCATTGTTTCCGGTCCTTTCTTAAATCCCTCTATCATTTTTCATTAAGTCTAAATTCATTTTCTATTATTCGTAAATTTAAAAAAAAAAAATAAATTATTCTATACTCTAATTAATATAGAGAAAGAGGTATCTCTTTCTCTCCTTTAATTCTACTCCCGACGCTATAATATCAAAAATATCGATTTCGACATGGTCATTTTAAAAAAAACAAATTCTTCTCCTTCATCAAAATTTGTCTTCTATCCTTTTTGATTACCTCCAAACTAATATTAATTTTTTCGATTCTGATTTTCGGCTTCATCTGAATTCATACAAAATAAATCTTTTATCGTTTTATTTTCGTTATTTTAATTATTACCGAGTGTCTTGCGAGTTATATTATGACAATGCGCAGATTACGCGTCGCGTTATCGCGAATCGGCCGCGAGAACATTTTAGCACGGCCGGCTGCAATGTTTCCGTTCGTTCCCGTCCGCCGTTGATTACCTAACCGTCGTCGTCGAAAAACCGTGGGCCTCCGCTAACGGAACCATTTTGAAATGCGTAAAAACCATCGGCTCGTTGTCGTTTCTCGCAAAACAGTATTGCGAGGGGCTCGCTCAAATGGTTCCCTTTCTCTCCCCCCCCCCCCCGGAACTTGTAACTCGTGTCTCGTTGCGTTTTTATAATAACTATCGATGAATTAATCGGTTCTAATATGGCCACCGTTAGATTGGTGCCAGATCCGGTTACCCATGTCTATCTCTATTTAATTATTTGTGTATTTCGTATTTATCCGGGTTCCAGGCAAGCGGCTGGCCAGTCTACGCTCCGCAACCGGTGAGTTTCAATTATCGCACTATTATTTTACCGTTTGTAACAGAGTGTTTTGTCGTTGTTGAGCCAGAACGGCTGCATATTCGTTATTTTATATTGAACGTATACATGAGCTCCAAAAAAGCCGCCATTACACCTACACTTTAATTCTGTTGGGTCAGAAGGGCTAATATAATCATTCCGTTCGGTTCGGCCTCAATGGCCGTGTGCATTTATCGTCATCAATTCTAAATTTTTGCTTTGCTGCGGCGATTGTTTTTTTTTTTTTTTTATATACTCCGTACCTATCTATTGATTTGTCTGTACTCGCAGCCAGCAACACCCGATCACCGTGTGAAATACAAACTGCGTTGCCTATTTTTCGAGTTACCGTTTATTCAACGTAACCTTCTGGTTAGTTTTGGTCGTAAACACACCCGTATGCATGTACACTCCTGTACACAAATACGCATTGTACACAACACTCCTCGGCGCATAGCTCTAGCTCGACGGTATGCGCCCGGCGTTCCCACGACACACCCGGGCTGCTGTCCGGGCGCACGTATTATTGCTGTACGCTGCCGGCCCGTTGGATCATATACCGATACCTGGCCCCCCACACGACCTTTAACAATTCATCGCTAAATTTTCTCGCGAGAAGTTTTCAAGTGTCCCATCCACGATTATATTGTCTACGAGCAGAAACGCGGCGACGAAAACGCGGTGTCCCGGCCAATTGCTGTTCGGCCCGTCCGGTCGGCGGCCTCGACGCACCCGCACAGCCCGGTGGGACCGAAAAAAGTCCCGGTCGTCGGCATCTGGGCGCAGGGTACGATTCTTTCGGCGACGCCCTCACCGGGGGACCCCCGCTACGTGATGGACCCGGTCTTTGTGCAAGAGACCGACCGCGGCGTCGAATAGACGAAACAAGTATACATGTTTCCCCCCTTAGAAGTGAAATAACAGAAAAGTACAACAAAATTTAAATTTCAAGTTAATTTATAAAACAATAAAAAAATAAAATAAAGTAAAAAACAAAATCATTAAATTTTTAATACTCGCTGATTTTCACACAAATTGAATTTAAAAATCAACAAATAGAAAAGTATTCAAAACGATCGGTACTGACGGGAATCAAATGTGTCTAACCCGGTTTCTGGTTTTATTTATATATTTATTTACAAGTATTTTAATCATTTTTCTGTTTTGTTTTATTATTTTATTAAACAAATATAACCTGTTTGTTTGTTGTTTTCTTCAAATAATATAATTTTTGTAAAATTTGTTCAAAGAATTGTGAAAGATACAACAAATTTCCAATTGTGAAAATTGTATTGAACGCATTAGACGTTCCGATTAACTTTAAGAGAAAAGTTTTTCAATGTATGGAACAACCTGTTAGAAAATTGATTAGTCGAAAAGAATGCGTTAAAAATGTTAAATTCCGCTTGTCGTACTCAGAGTTCTCAAAAGATGGCGTTAACATATAAAAATATTTAAGAAATGATTATAATTGTAATTAGATAGGCAGTGCAATTATTAGAGGGCGGGAGGGGATCACGTCAGTAAGCCGACGGTCATAAACAATTTCCAGCTTGGACTTCGGATAGAAGTCTGCGACAAGAAAACAAACTTTCCTCGCCAGTCATCTGATTAATAATTAATAACATTACAGCATTACAGCAACAGCAATTGGTCACTTGTTCTTTCACTGTTTATAATAAATGTGTAAAATATTTATTACGTTTTCATGTTTTCTTAGTTGTTTTTTTTGTTTTTTTTTTTAGTCAAATGTTAATAAAATATTTTTGCCAAATTAGAAAGTTTTGGCAATTTATAACAAAGCTTCTCGTACATATCTCTATAGCGCAGGGAGGGGGTGGTTAGGGGTTACATCCCCTCCCATTGGCTTAAAAATACATCAAAATACGAATAATCTAATATCGAAACATACATTTCAGCCGATTTCCAAGGAATAGAAGCTTGATGTATTGATTAGAAATTGGCATTTTTTTATGATCTGGCTTTTAAATTACCAATTCCTATAGTCGAGTTAGGTAGAGAAGACGATTTTACTATTCATTTACGATTTTTATTTGTTACATCTCCACCCATTGAAAATGTGACGATTTACCGCAGTCCATAAAAAGACATTTATTATCGCAACCACGAGACATATTTTTTATTGAACAAAAACCAAATTATAATTATAATATTTTAGAATAATAGAAAGAAGTAAGGCATAATTCTAATTTAACAACCACGCGATTTTTTGAATTTTTTTTCCCGAAATGTGTATTTTTGCGTGTACATAAAAATGTAAAAAAAGTCAGACAAACTTCGTTTGGAAGTTATAGGGGAAAACTTCATAAAGTATGGGTTTTCCTTTTCTCGTATTCCTTAGTTAGAATTTAACATTTTCAAATTTTTTTTTTTCCAAAATGTGTGTTTTTAGACGTTTAAATCCATTGGTGTAATCAAAACGTACCCATCATACCTTACTTTTTAAGTTTTTGTATATAAACGTTAAAAAATAGGTATTTTTAGAATTAGTATGGTCGAAAATATAATTTTTTTTATTATTAATATTTGTAGTTATTGATATTTAGATAACAAAGTTTTTTTTATCGAAGTCAAAATAAGTCTATCTGGCTTAGTTTCAGAGTTGCAGCTGTTCAACAAACGCGCCATATTTTACTGCGCTCAATCGTTCATTTTTAATCGAAAATAACCCTCGATTGTGGGACTTTTTTTTCCGTATACCGTGGGGGTTTACAAAATATTATACTACGCGTTTAAAATTATGAACGAATCTAATTGCGATGAAAAATTCAATCCAGATGATTACAGAGATGCCCTAAAAAGATATCCCTTAGAGAACTCTAAAGACAGGGTCGGTCTGGCCAGGGCCGGCGGGTCGGGATTCCTGCCTGGGCCCTTGCAGTATTATAGTTCCTGGGCCCTTGTACTGTGTTAACTCAAAATACAGCAGCATAGTTAAATAAATCACTACTTAAAAAATTATATTTTATTTAATATAACATAATCGTATCGTAATATTTAGAGTTTTATTTTCTATTTTTGTCTCAAAAGTAATAATATTATATTATAAATTTGAATGTGGAAAAAGAACTACAATAATTATTTAACTGTACAAATAATTATGCGGGTAATAACGTGAAGTACATAGCACAAACAAAAATTAATATGTACCATTATAGTTGTTAATAAATTATATAAATTAATCCATAGATACTTGGGGACGGCGGACGGCGGTGATTATTCAATAACATACCCGGCAATTCCCTCATTCGTTTTATTTATATGTACGAGTGTCAAGAGAATGAGTTTTTGTCTCGAGCTCATTATTATAGTGTTTTAACTTTTAAATGAATTATAATTATTATATTTGTTTCGTATTTTTTCGATGGGGGCCTAAATCAAAATCGGGAGAAGCATAAAGAGCTGCGAAATTTCATAAAAAGTTAATGGAAGATGCTAATAATCCAAAGCAAATTAAATTAAATTTTCAGCCTGCACGTATTCAGCAAAGTAACAACTATTAGGTTATAATAATTAATAGGTATTAATTTTAAAATAAATACACACATTTTTATTCGTTTTAAACTTTACTAACTTAGGAATTATCAATATCAAAATATAAGGATTCTGAGTCAGTTAAAATAAATAAAATTTCGCCGGTAAACATTAACTGCACAGTCGGTGAAAGTAAGAAAAATTTAAATGGTATGTAATTCATATATTGTAATACATAAATTAGATGTAGAGAAAATCTTATAGTTTTTTTTATATTCATTATTTTTCATAAAAATAGAATCAAATTTGGAAAAGAAAAATGTTGAATGTACTTGTATTATGGAAATAAAAAATAATAATAATGGTATGTACTATATTGTAATTATTGTTAAAAATTTTAGGTAGAAGTAGAGCTAAAGAAATATTTGTACAAATAAATATGTGCCGAAGCACATTTATTAATTTTAATATTAATTCATGGGTTCACCTATTTTCAAATATACTACTTTATACACTTATGTATCAAAATATTTAAAATATGCGTTTAAAAAACAAATTAATTCAATTAATTAAATTCATATTTTGATATTTAGATAAATCTCAAAATGAATTAAAGAAAAATAATTCAAATGAAAATAAATGAAATCTCATTTCAAATAGTTTTAATGACAATTTGACGCCATCGTGATCAAATTTTATACCACCACCATCAAATATTTCAGCAGATGTAAAATTTAAATTTTGGAAAAATCATCATGAATAATAACACTTGAATTTCTGTAGGTTTCAGAAAAAAAAACCCGCGTGAAACTTCCAACACGTTTATCAATATATTTTTGTTTAGCTTCTCTAATTTTCGTGTATTTTAAACCAGAAAGTCGTTTCCGTGATGCCATGATTAATATGAAAAAGTATTTTAGAATGGCCTAACCGGCTTGTGCCCAAGCGACAGGTCCGGAAAGGCCAAACACGGTGTGCCGTTTTTACACCGGTTCATCAATCGGTAAAAGAGGTATATTTAGATTTCTTATGATTTGTCGTGTCAAATGCCGCCAGATGAAATAACTGAATCGAGATATAAGAACAAAAAAATTAACTAGTTTGTTGGTCACTAGAATTAACTGTAAAACACATAAGCACTAAAATTCAAAACATAAGTATTTCTCGGCATTCAGTTCGTGGCACGTGTGTACATTCAATCAACGTTCAGTAATATTGAAAATTCTATTCAATTTTTAAAATCCAAAAACGGAAAATCAGTCTCGCGGTTTTAAATTTTACAAACAGGACCGACTGTACAATTAATTAACCAATGGGAAAATAATGAAAATGGCAAAATAGTATTTTTATTCGAATATTTGAAAATGTTACGGTGGTACACGACGCGTATAGTATCCGTACAAAATGTATTNCGGATAAAATAATCGTTATTGTTCTGGACGGTCGTACCCTACCGCATCGTAATCCGTATTTTTTATTCAATACAAATATTATTAGGTAGGTATCTATGTCGCTTTCCGTTATTTATTTTTTTCTTTTTCAAACGAAATACCGTAAGATCATGGTTGCCAATTGTACCATAAATAATTTTTTTTTTTTTTTTATAATACAAATATTACATAGGTATTAGGTACATACCTAGCGCACACAATTTCCATTTTAGATTCCGAGCATAGCGAGGGAGCTATTGGTTTTACCAAGATGTTTGTTACTGTTCTCTCTTCTAGTCCGTGGACACCGTTTTTTTTTTCTAGTAAACATGCTCCGAATTTACGTGTATCGACTTTCCTGGGGACACTGTGTTCAGATCTTTTTTCTCGTATTACACAATAATTGTTTTTTTTTTCTCGTTAGTATCATTAGGTCGGGGTACGTCGTTTGCCAGCACCGCTCCGTGGAATGACTGGGATAGGAGCCGGACCCGCACCACGTTGACGGGCTACGGGCGACGAACGTAAGTACCAAAAGATACGGAAATATCGTGGCCGCGGCCGGTCGCACTCAATTACAGAGAAATAATAATAATACAAGCGCCGGCCGGAATAAACACTTTTCTCCGGCTATATTCGATGTACACTATTGTCCGTCGCGGGGACAAGTATCGAATGACGACACGTCCGGGCACGACATTATTTAGGCGCATCACGGGCAACCTCGCGCCGGTTTCGCAGGACCGCTGTTGGGTCACAAGCCGGAGGAGGGGCCGGGCTTCGTTCGTTGACGGGCCACGGACAATTACGCGCGAAAATCACCAAACGACAAAATTCCGGGCGACGCGCGCGTGTCGAAAGATTTTCGGAACACACGGATGTCGGCGCGCCGTTTTATTGTAACGGCAGAAAAGAAAAAAAAAACCACGTGCCCGCCGGCCGTGACGAGTGGGTATCCCGAGACCCAAGCATGGTACTCACCTGGTCCGGTGTGCCAGCGACCGGAACGCCGTCCACACGCGTTATTATCGGCACAGAAACAGTTGGCATTGAAGAAAAACTGCGAAAACAGTACAGCAGAACCGTACGGTTCCGCGGTTCGAGCAAAAGTAACGGAGTTTGCCGGCCCCAGAGAAGTCGCCGCGGAGAGCGTGAACGCCGGCCAGTCCCCACCACCGCCGCCGGCCTTTCCCCACCATCGCCGCCGGCCAGTCCCCACTACCGCCGCCGGCCAATCCCCGCCACCGCCGCCGGCCAATCCCCACCACCACCGCCGGCCAGTCCCCACTACTGCCGCCGACCGTTTGTACAATGTAACCACCGGCGGGGAAAAAATGGTTCGGCCGCGGCCAATTCCTCATCGCGCTGCGGCCCACCGACCGATGGTCGTCGTCGCCGTTTCCCTCCCACCCCGCACTCGGCTCTATCGTCGGTGACGCCGCGACCGCGCGATAATTTTCGTATCGTTTTGTCTACGTGTTTTGCCCGTGTTTGCTTACGTCCGCTCGGTGATCACGGTGAAACCGCCGCGTTCCGACCGGCTGCAGATCGTGACATTTGATTTGGCACGCGATTGCGTCGCACAATCGCAACGTTTGTCAACCCGTTTCAGGGCTCCTCGATCCATAACGTAATATTATTAAAACACATCATTAACGGACATTTTGTCTCTCCTCTGCTTTTAAGTGTTTTTAGTAATACATTTACCAACAATAACTACTTACCGTTTATAAATTTAGTCCCATCGGCTGCACGAGATAATATAGGGATTTTGAGTGCCTCATATATTATAATATACCAAATATAGAGATATACACGTTATTATTACCCATACGAAAACACACTTCGTTAGT